TGGGTGGGCTTTGAGGTCCCTCCAACCCAAAATGTTCTTGCCCTTTGGCTTCTCCCCTGCCCAACCAAACACTCGAGCAGAGTCAGTTCCCTGCCCACCCTCCCTGACCCTCTCCCCCCTCTCCTGCCTCCAGGCCCAGCTCAGGCTTCTGCTGCCAAAACTATCCAGGGAAAACAAACAGGCAGAGAGGTTTTGGGTGCAGCTGGGTGGGAGGAGCAAAGAGCTGCTCAGGGTGATCAAATGGGAGAGATAAGGACAAAAATAAAAGCAGAAAGGGCTGGGAATGTTTGTCCCTGCCCCTTGGTGGTGGCTGCTGGGCCCGACTGGAGCTGTTTGCTTTATCAGCTGTCATCAGCTGGACCTGGCGTGGGGAGATAAGGCCCGAGGTGTCTGTGAGCTGCAGATACTGCCTGGCTCTCAGCTTTGCAAGTCATGCCTTGTCCTGCCTCCTGAGCAGGGTTTAACTCTTGGAGTTTGGGTTCATTTTGTGCTGCTGGAGCAGCCGGAGAAACTGGGGCTTGGGAGGAACAACAGGCTGGGGAGCTGGGGGAGAGGGACCTGCTGAGGTCCCAGCAGGTCCTGCAGCTGGGGAGGAACCAGCCCTGGGGCAGCACAGGGTGGGGGCACCTGCTGGGGAGCAGCTCTGGGCAGCAGGAGCTGGGGCCCTGGGGGGCAGCAGGGGGACCATGAGCCAGCAATGGGCCCTGGGGGCCAAGAAGGGCCCTGGGCGCCTGGGGGGAGCAAGAAGAGTGTGGGCAGCAGGTCAGGGAGGTTGTGCTGCCCCTCTGCTCTGCCCTGGGGGGGACACCTCTGGAGAGCTGGGCCCAGCTCTGGGCTGCCCAGGGGCTGAAGGCCAAGGAGCTGCTGGAGAGAGTCCAGGGCAGGGCCCCCAAGGTGCTGAGGGGCTGGAGCATCTGCCTGGGAGGAAAGGCTGAGGGAGCTGGGGCTGTTCAGCTGGAGAGGAGGAGCCTGAGGGGGGGTCTCCTCAAGGCTGAGCAGGATCTGCAGGGGGTCAGCAGGGGGGGACCAGACTCTGCTCAGGGCTGCCCAGGGACAGGCCAAGGGGCCATGGGCACAAGCTGGAGCACAGGAGGGTCAAGCTCCCCAGGAGGAGGAACTTGTTGCCTGGGAGGGTGGCAGAGCCCTGGGCCAGGCTGCCCAGAGAGGCTGTGGAGGCTCCTTCTCTGGAGACACCCCAGCCCCTCTGGAGGCTCCTGTGGGACCTGCTGGGGGTGACCCTGCCCTGGGGGCTGGGAGGGGGGGTCTCCAGGGGTCCCTGCCAGCTCCAGCACCCTGAGACTGTGGTTCCATGAACTCTCAGGTCCACCAGGAAACCATTGTAAGGCTGTTGCTGATGGAATAGTAAGTTGGATCTGGTCTTGGAGAGTAAAGTGAGGCTCATGAAATCCCAGACTAGTTTAGGTTGGAGGGACCTCAAAGCCCACCCAGTGCCCCCCTGCATGGGCAGGGACACCTCCCAGCAGCCCAGGCTGCTCCAAGCCCCATCCAACCTGCCCTTCAACACCCCCAGGGATGGGGCAGCCACAGCTTCCCTGGGCAACCTGGGCCAGGCTCTCCCCACCCTCACACCACAGAATTTCTCCCTCCCATCTCAGCTCCAGCTCCCTCTGCCAGCTGGAAACCCTTCCCCCTGCTCCCATCAGCTCCAAGTGAAGCTGGGGAGCCACGTTCTTACATTCAGCAGAGGGACCCCAAGAGATGGGGCCGTTGCTGATCCCACCCAGAGTGACCAAGGTCTGTACTGTGAGCAGTGCAGGGGCAGGTGGGCTTCAGGTGGGCTCCTTTATCCCTCCTGGTGACAATTAATAATCTCCCCTTTCCTTTTTTGGCAGAGTGGAAACAGCTTCCATGTGTTTGACCAAGGCCAGTTTGCCAAGGAGGTGCTTCCAAAGTACTTCAAACACAACAACATGGCCAGCTTTGTGAGGCAGCTCAACATGTGTGAGTATCTTCTGGGCAAAGCTCTCCCTGGCAGAGGTTCCCTCACCTGCCCAGGTTCCTTGGGGGACTTTTGTGCAGGTGGGAACATTTGCTGCCTTTGTGGTCACTGAGGTTTGGGGACCCTGGGGACAGAGCAAACATCTCTGAGCATATGGAGGGAAAGGAGGTGGTCAGGAGTAGCCAACAGGGATTGAGCTCTGCTCTGCTGAGCCCCCTGCAGGGCTGGGGCCAGGCTGGGGTCCCCAGCACAGGGAGGACACGGAGCTGCTGGAGAGGCCAGAGGAGGCTCTGGAGATACTGGGAGGGTTGGAGCAGCTCTGGAGCCAGGCTGGGAGAGTTGGGGTGTTCAGCCTGGAGAAGAGAAGGCTCCAGGGAGACCTGAGAGCAGCTTCCAGTGCCTGAAGGGGCTCCAGGAAAGCTGGGGAGGGGCTTGGGACAAGGGCAGGGAGGGATGGGAGCAGG